ATAGATCACTTGGTTGAAAATCGCGAAGAAATCGACATGTTTGAGCTGGAACGCAGTGATCTGACAAAGTCTAAAGGTGGTTTAAATCCTCTTTATTGGAAAATGCAAAAAGTCTTAAATGAAAAGACAGGAAAGACTGTTCAACAAAAGGATCCCAGTCGCGGTCCAACATTGTACGCAAAACTGATTTACTCGAAAAAACAAGACAAGTTTCGCACACAATTTTTCGATCTAAATGACGAACCGATAGATGCACTTACGCTGATGGGAAAATACTGTCATGCAACTTGTGCGATAAAGATTGAGTCCATCTTTATTGGTGCTCGTATTTCACTGCAAGTAAAACTATACGAGGCTGTCGTAGAACCCAGTAAAATGGGAATGAAACGTCTCTTGCCTCGTCCAAATGCCGAATCTGTGGTACTAGAGTCTGAATGTACGACAGCTGCAGATGTTATGAATGATGTTATGAACAACGAACAAAAAAAAAATGATTTTAATAAAAAATATTTGCATTGAATAAAAATATTTGCAATGAATAAAATGGTCGAAATAAAAGATATGATAGTACTGCAATTAAAAGCATTTGCGAAAAATCTTGGAAAAATCTTACAAAAAATCTTGGTAACATCACCACCACTACCACCACCACCAACACGACAGGGTAGTCCCTCTTGCAGTGTAATACGTGTTTACAACAGAGCAGATCTCACATTGTCTGCAAATGATGACAAGCGAATCATTCTTCCAGACAAAATAAATACAAAACCACCTCTCGCATAATAATACAGGTTTATCCTAAAAAATCTCAGATAAATTTTGAGTAAAATAAAAGCATACTTTACTTAAAAAAATATTAAATACAAATAAAAATATTTGTATTTAATAAAAATGGTTGATAAATCGAAAAAAGATGAAATAATCAATGAAATAATGAATGGCGAGACACCACCACCCTCTCGCAAGACCTCGTCACCTCGTGTAATAAAGCTTTACAATTGGGGAGTGTATGAGAGTAATCCCTCTCGCAAGGCCTCGTCACCTCGTGTAAAAAAGCTTTACAATTGGGATGTGCATGAGAGTAAACCTTCCAGTGTAATAATGGTTTACCCTGGTAGACCCCCTCGCAATGTAATAAAGGTTAGGTTTTAACCTAACATATCAAACCTTTTTTTAACATAATCTCTGTATTTTTTGTGATATGACGCATGCGCCAAGTTTGGCACCAAATCATTGATCAACGATTCATACTTTTCAATCCATTCCAAATCACTCATACTCCACTTTCCATTCTCTCTCATCGAATGATTCAAGTGTGTCAATATCGAATTGTTTACAGACAAAGCGATGTTGAGTTTTTCGATTTTCAAATCATATTTTTTAAAGTCCTTGTACTTTTTTACAATCGTCATTGGAACAAGTGCAATCAAAGCTAGCAAAGGATTCACAGTGATAGATGTCGGCACAGCCGCACCAACACCAAGAATCACACCGACAACATCGAGTGCAATTCCTTTCTTTTTGAACAATCCCTTCACATACTTCATAACAAAATCGAGTCTGTAAAAACGATCATGCAAAGATTGCAGCAATGACAATGTGTCTTTATCAATGGTGTAATCAATATGATTAGATGCTTGTACAATTTTTGACGTGTAAACCACTTCCGTGTAGTCCATTTTATATTTCACAAGAAAATATAAAAATTTAATCTTGCTTCACAATCAACAGATGACTCCAATCCAATCCATCAAGTAGAGTAGCGCTGTTATCTGTCTCTATGCTCAGCGATGTGTTCGCTTGGAAATACAACAAAACGGTATTAGCGGTATTAACCCAAGCATTTCTTGTGTTGGGCAACGCCATCAATATTCCGTTTGCTGTGGTCACAAACGAATTGCTCAAGGTAAACTTGAGATTATGTAGATGTTGAGACTGGACACCATCGATGTATGTGATCAGATACATGCCAGCGTTGTTGATTATGAGTTTTGTATTGTCTGAACTGTTCACTGTGAAATCAGCATTATCACTCTGTGAAACGTTTGTGGTATGATCTGATGTTCCATTTACATAAAATGTTGCCTGTGACGCGTTGTTATGAGCGCAGTTTCCTCGATACCAAATCTTTTTCGTTGCATTTGTCAGCGCCGTCTTTGTCGCTTTTGTAT